AGTTAAGGTACAACTTGCAAAACTATTAATTACTTGCCAAGCATTAAGTGCTGCAAACAGGTAAAAAATAATCAACCACTTCTGACGCCTCTGTTATAGCAATGAAAGGGGTATGCTGAAAGGGTGACTGGGATGGCCGTTTCTGGTCCAGTAGCCGTCCTCAGATTTGTTGGAGCTAAGCCTCGAACAAGCTTTCTTTGTTAATCGAGGGTTGTTAGGTCAAACGTCCAACCAATTAAGCGAATTCCTGTGATAGCTCTAGACTGAGCCCAATTAACAAAGGCACAGGCATATCCCGTAACCAGATCTGTCAACGCACATTCAATGTCAGTTGAAGGAGCACGTTTGTTCAGGGATGTATACTTCGAAAAGTGGAACCCATGCGATTTCTTCGGGAGCAAACGTATGCTCGCCACCTGGTCTTCTGAACCCGTCTATGGGACGTTTCACAACTCCAAAAACAGCCCAAAGATCTCGCGGTGTTTAGGGCACTCAGTGAGTACCTATCTTTGAACACCAAGCTTGCGGGACGAAAGTACTGGCCAAGTTTATCGAGGGCTGTATTGAGAGAATCAAGTATCCAAACCACTACTGGATAGTGCTGCGGCGTGGTCTTGCAGGCATTATAACCGGAGACATAAAGAATACGCTGAAATTCAACTGGAAGGCATTCATGTAAAGATGGACGAACTAGAGCGTCATGCATGTCATCCTGACAAAGGACAGACGAACAAGAACTGCATTTATTCTATGGGAAAAAGACACGGAGACACGAAGAGATCTTCGCCTCCTCAAAGATTCACGAAATGAAACCACAATCAAGGCTTCCGAAAGATTCACAGAGATGCGTACACAATCATTCTTGCATGGAATTCGATAAAAAAATCACTTGAAGCCCTGTCCCATGGTCATAAGTTCTGTAGGTCTCGTCGAAGAGTTAAACAGTCGGAATTAAAAACAAATTTCAGGAACCTCCGGAACCAGAACTACGATCTAGTGCTCGCTTCCGCAGGCAGTACCAAACACTTTAACTCAACACTGGTGAATTGCGTTATCAGTCCCTGAACAAGGCTTAGAGGTCGGGAATTGCTGACAAAAGCACATGTGGAGAAGTTAGAAGAGCTCCGAGAGAACAGAGATATCTTGGTAACTAGGCCGAAAAAAGGAAGAGGCATCGTTATAATGGACAGATCGGAATACGTAACGAAGATGCAGTCAGGGCAGAAGAAATCCGTATCATGCGATAGCGAAGTGGTTAGCAAAAAAACTCAAACCCGTACAACAATGACTAGCACCACTTAGCTATCGAGATACCTTCGAATTCATTGAGTACGTCAATGATCTCAACCGTAACGAGATAGTGATCTTCTAGCCACACGTCTCACCACTTTTTATAAACATTCCATTCACCGAGACAGTTGATTACATCTGTGAATTGCTATCAACCATTCAGTAGGAAATAAGAATTTGGACGAACACACTCGGGGAATTATTACTAAGATGCACAATAAGTGTGCAGTTTCTTTGCAACGGTACAGAGAAGGAACCCATTTAACTGTCAGTAGGCTGTGGATCGTGTCGTATGGGGTTTTGTCTTGGCATACATTTGCAGGCTGTTGCAGAAATTACACTGCCAACAAGACAACTTCCCACGACCTCACACATTAACTCAAAATCCGTTATTTTGTGAAATTCACTTTTCGTTTATTGTTTGATTACTACTCTCAGTTCCGTTGTCGTACAATAGCGTAGGACAAAACTTTCGACATAAAGCCAGACAGTTTCTTTGTTTTCTTCCACTTTGTCAGCTTACTGTCTAGCGTGCTGCCATACCCATAAAACCCCCTTTACCATAAATCACGCATAGCTCGACCCACAGTCTACTGACAGTTAAGTGGGGTCCTTCCCTATACCGCTGTCCTTCCTTTTTGACAGCCAATTCTATAGAGGAATAGACGGAGTTGTTATGGACTCGCCTCTTGGACCTCTCTTAGACGATATCCTTGTGGGCAAGCTGAAGAAATTTCAACTAAGCCATCAGATCAATAAGGTCAAGCATTGCGGTTGAAGACATCTTTGCAATGTCACCACATAAACCGACATAGCTGCCCTCTTAAGTGCTGTAAATTAGGCACATCCGTCGATCCGGTTCACGTTGGAGATGGAAACGGCCGGTTAACTTCCTATCTTAGATACTCTTCCAAACAGTAGCCCTGACGGTATCGTTCGAAGGTGAGTCTATCGGAAGAAAACTTAATCTGAATAATATACGAACTTCTACAGTTTCTTATTCCTTCAACGGAAACGCGGCTGCTAGTTGGGTTTGAGAGAGGGAGTTCCAAGGCACAACGGGACGAGTGCGTTTCATAACACGATCGGCGACTGTCCTTCAACCACAGGACAAACCTGTTCGCAGACAGCAACGACGAGGAACTTTGGAAGGCCCAAGATCTGCTGCGAGAGAACTAATATCCTGAGAGGTTTATTGTAAAGAATACAAAAAACTCATCACACAGACGGCGGAAATGAAAACCCTGTTCGCCAAATCCCCTTTCAAGCGGATGCAGCTAGTGAAATCCTGAGAAAACGCCTTGACTAGGCTGTTTAGCAAACCTTCCCGAGGGACAAAAGTTCCCGACTGAATCCGCTTTACACGGAGGAGGTAAGGATAGGTTGTCAGTTGAGATCACCTGCATGTTCATTTACTCCTTTACTTGATCCTGTGGGGCAGTTTATATTGGTTGCACGAGTGGACGGCTATCCAAAGGAAGACGAGAACACCTGACGGCATGGGTGGGAAAGATCGAAATTAAAATCAAAAACAGTATCATTCTCGGACAGATTGTTGAGTTCGGGAATTTTGTGGACCCCAACGCAGCCTTCCGTGTGATTTACAAGGTCCAGCCAGCAAGGGTTAAGTATATGCGCGGGACAAGAAAATGTTAGCTGTTAAACAAATTCACCAGCGTTTTAACATTCTTGCTCTACTGGCAGACGTATGCTCTCCAGTTAACCATATTTCGTGTATTTTTTTTACTAACTGGCTGCTCTCCGTGCAAAATTGTTTTTTTGAATGAGCTTTCCCATCGATAAGGAAGTACGCGTGGGGATGCAGAACAATCAACCAATAAAGACATTTCAACAGAACCGACTCCTCGGGACGGTGCAGGTCAGCGAAACTCATCCTGCCGACGAAGAGCCGACCGAGGACTCTACCGAACAACACTCACTTTTGAAAATATTTTCAAGGCGGTTCCCCACGATTTTTCCTTACCCCGCGCATATACTTAATCCTTACCGTCCCACCGAACTGCCCTAAGCCATTGAGTCAGCGTCTGCTAGCAACGGCAGAGATGACTGACATCAGGTTACGAAATTCGGCCTTGTGAGCGCAGAAGCACCTGGCGTAAGCTCCACGCCTACCGCGGCCAAGGGTTGGTTAGTCGTATGCACCTTTTCGCGCCCCTACCCCACCTTCCCCGTAATCAACCCTGCCTGCCGGCTCATTGCATCCTATTCTCCTCCCTTCCCCCCCCCCCCCAAGTTCCCACACCTCGCTTCCATGAATAGACGAGCTGTAACCGACCTCTTTTATCTCCCACATGTTTTGCTTGTCCCCCATCCTGTATAGATGGCCAGATGATAATTTGTCGAGGGTACACGTATGCTCGTCCCATGTGAGTTTTCGGAACCCCGTCACGTTCTACCCAAACAAAGACTCCCCCAGACTGCTGACAAAAATCCTGTTCGGAAAAAGATATGCGCTTTAGAAACATCAAGTGTGCGCCCCATATGACACGCATTTTGCCTACGTTTTCGCATCAGAGTGAAGGACCCGGGAATAATTTTCACCGGGGCGGAGGTTCTGTCGGATACCCTTTGCAGAATGACTTGAGTCTGGGAGGCACCATGTTTCACACTTTATTTGCTATATTATTATCCCTAGTATTGATATTTTGCCTGCCTATCTGGCAGTAAACAGTCAACAAATTAAACCACAGTATAGCAAACCTCAGTATATATTTTCCTTGGTTGTGCATTCCATAAAACTGGGCGTGACTGAAGGAGGTATTTGCCGAAAGTTGTGGAATGGTGATTCCAAAATAAAGCGTTTTCAGCTCTCTCTCTCTCTGTGGTTCCTTAGCCTCTTCGGCGCACGAAAACGGAGGGGTCTCCGGCAAGACCCTCCCTCATACGAGCGGCTTTACTCTACATTCCAGAAACACTACTTATTCCCGTGTGCCAACCTTGGCACTTACCTTAGCCAAACCCTAACCATGACCTTATCCTAGTCACCCGTAGGACTCGGGGTTCACACTGCCCTGCCCTTGCTAAGCTTCTGGCCAACCACTGTCAAGTTCACGCATTTCAGTGCCTTCACGCACACACACACACACACACACACACACACACTGGCCGCAGTCTGTTGAGGCCGGCCAGAAGATTCATTTTCAGCAAAATCAGTTATTTACGGCTTTGCCTTCTGGGCACAATGTCAGCTCATGTTTTGTAGACAGGAGCGCAAATTTTATAATTTAAACAGATGCGCGGATTAACAAAGCGCGAGGGGTCGTCTTAATCTTAAAAATTTTGGTTTGTAAACGTCAATGTAGTTAAATATAAGACGCTCCAGCAACTAGTTGTTTTGGTTAACATCATCACTTTATTGGCGTAAATTTTATCATGATGAGTTGAGAACCCACGAATCGTAAAGGGGATTCATTAAATACTATTTACACTAGGAGGGCCATTTCAACTTGATAAACAAATGGCGTAACACCACCTGCAAATAAAACCTCAGTATATATATATATATCTATATAAACCCGAAGCGACAATTAGACGTCTGGTCATGAGACCAAAAAACGCCCCTGCCACGAGGCGAAACCGCCAATGTTGTCTATCGGATCCCGTGTACCTCCTGCGAAGCCAACTACGTTGGGGAAACTGGGAAGAGATTGCAGACCCGCATGGACGAGCATGCAAGAGCGGTGAGAAGAATGGATCAGCTCTCGCTGGTGGCGGAACATTGCGCGGCTTTCGACCATGCCTTCGCCTTCCAAGACGCCGAAGTCTTGGGCCAAGGGAGCGATCAAACGGTCAGGGAGACGCTCGAAGCCTGGCACACCACAACTACCTCGATTAACCGCTGCGTAACTTTGCCGGCCGCCTATCAAGCCTTACGGGCGAAATTCAATAAGCAGGGCCACCGACGAGGCGTCAGGCCAGAGAAGGCAGCAGTCGAACCCAAACCCAGCGGGAACACAGACGGGCATGGACAGGAATCGGGAACCGACGAAACCAGGGGACAACCGGCGACGAACACAAACCTAGGAGACCGCCTTCTGGGTCCGAACACAGACAGACGCCAGCCCCTGGGGAGAGCGCCAGACAGTGACAGGACCCCCCAGCCCGACGTCAACACCAGCATGACAACCACCATCAACACAGTTACGGACAGGTATGAACGGGGCAGCGACAGTGACAGGCACCCCCAGCCCGACGTCAACACTAGCATGGTAACCACCGTCCACACGGGTACGGACGTGTGCGAACAGGGCAGGAAGGCGAGATGCGCGGAGGGCAGACAACGGACAATGCAAACAAGAGCAATGACCGCGGTCGCCCTGATGCCGCTCCCCTTCTCACACCCGACAAAGAATGAGGAGGAACCGTTGCCGCCATGACAACAAATCGCCAAGCCTTGAGATGCAGCGCGCTGGCAGTCAGTGACACGCCAGCACGAAGAACAAAAACCCATAAATACTGTGACGTGCAGTACGCAAACCACCTCCGATGATGGAAGCTTGTTTGCTTTCGAAACGTCAGGCAAATATGCCTATGGTTCCTGCGATCGCCTTATTTTCTCAGTTATATCCGGGAACGCGCATTTTTGCTTCAATCAGCATATATCTATATATATGCAGTATGTTAATACCGACAAAGACAGGGAGACTGGGATGGCCACTTACAGCTTATTAGCCGTCGCCAGCCAGTCATACCCAGCGTGGACTTCTAACTAACAGGTCGCGAGTTCGAGCCTCGGGTATTCCACACATCGGGGTTGGGTATGACTGGCTGACGACGGCTAATAAGCCCGAAATGGCCATTCCAGTCTCCCTTGTCTTTGTCGGTAATAACATACTGCCTATATCATGGACCGCTGTGCGGCTGCTGGTTGAGCTCGAGAGAGAGAGCCCATAAGGCACAACGGAACGAGTGAGTTCCGTAAGAACGATCGGTGAGCGCCCCCTACCATTGAATTAAACATAAGACTCTCCAGTAAATAATTGGTTTGGCTAACAGAATTCCCTGGTCATCATTTTATTGACGTAAAATTTATCATGATGAGTTGAGAACCAGCGAATCGTAAAGGGGATTTATTTAATACTCTTTAAACTAGGACGAGCATTTCAACTTGATAAAAAAAATGGTGTAGTGCCTCCTGTTGGCAATTTTCCTTCTAATGCAGATTATTCATCAAAATGCATGCCTTTCACTGCATTTTCCATGTTCCTGTAGAGCAGCTCAGTCCTACTGAGCAGAGTTTGGATGAGTTGATTTGTTATCGGTTGACATTTGAGATGGTACTTCTTTCTCAGATTTAGTTATTACATATGTGAAGTTCAAAAAAACACATATGTATTTCAGAACCTGCGTTTGTCCATACATGTGCTTGGACTGTAAAATTTACTCATTACGAGGGGAGATAGACACTCCTTTCTGAATAACTATTAGTTGCTGTACAACTACTTGCGAAAACTCCGTATTGAGCCTTGTAACGGAATGAGACGGTCACGTTCCGTAACCCGACTAGCGACTGATTCTCCCGTGATATTATATGAACAATTTTTCCGCCAATATAGGGAAAATTCCAACGAAATCAAGCAAAGCTGAAATTCTTGTCAGCCTAATCCTAAAATAAAAGATTTTTGGTCAAAGGGCTCTCCTACGGTTCCCTTTACTGGGTTTTTTACTTGCCTTTCCAACGCAAGTTTTGTCAATCTGTTGGGCTAAAATGCGTTATACCTGCCAACCGCTTTTCCATTTATATTGATGACTATGCTGAGAAATTTTAGAGCAGTTATTAAGACTGAGAATGGACTGGATCTTTGTATTAGGAAGGCGCGCTTGAAAAGTGTTTCAGTAGTGCTGGCTTTCTTCCAGGCTGAAATACTCCCCCATTAAAAATATTTTTGGAAGGTTTATTTCGCGAAACCGTTCCCTATCTTCTAATACCAATGTCCTTTATAATGGTCGCACTCATTTTTGTGGCTCAAGCTCCTATTGGCTTCTTCGCTCTTGATCTACCATTTTGTCATACGCGAGCACAGCTCAAGTCTCTTTCCTGTCTCGTGAATGAGGAATGTCCTTAGGGTTGACGACGTCCTCGACAAGCTACGTTTTTTTCAGGCTCGTGCAGTTACTAGCTGCAGTGTACACGATGGGGATTTGTCTTAACTGCCCGGTCCTTGGAGTACAAAGTAATTCCGTCCGGAAATTACAGTAACCTTGAGACTGGTTGGCGGAAGAGCAGTCTTTCGATCGGACAGAACGTTAGTCCTGCCGTCAAAATCCCGCAAAGAGAACGGCAAAGGTTTGGTGCGTAACCCTACCGAGAAAAAGGTAGTTAACTGCAACCCTAACACCAACCTGTAATGTGTAACCCCAACCCTTAATTAGTAAACACTTAAGGAGAACTCGGCCACAAATCCTAATCCAATCGCGGCAACGCTAGCCCCAAGAATGGCCCAACTCCTAACACTAGCCCTCGCTCCAACCCTGATCTTGAGCTAGATAAGGACAACTATACATTAGTAACGCTGGCGAATTTCAAAGTCCGCGTATCGCGCAACCTCTTTCACAGCCTACTGTCAGGTAAACCGTTATGCATCACATTTAACTAACTAAGATAAGAAGGTAGACTTTTGAACAATCATAGCATGCCCTCATTGCTTCTTTCCTGCTGATCTCTTCCTCACCTTTCTGTAATGCCGTTTGTGCACGTTCTAAGTCTAGTTGGAGTACAGGTTTCATCAGGACGATCAGTTTGACGATATTCAGTTCAGCTAGTCCCTCGCACGGGTAAAAGCTGCGAGGAAAGAGTCAGAAAAAGTGCTCAAACACGGTCACAGTAGTGTAATTAGGGACGACAGGAGCTTCTACACGCGCATACACAAACTCCGCAGCACGAAAGACCTCATTTCACACTGACCTCGAAAAACGACCTGACGCACGCGCTCAAATGTTGC